AGGTTTGCAATGTGCTGGTGTGGAATGTTATCATCGACTAAAAACTTTAAATCTTTGTATTAAATTGATCGAAAACAAACTATAAATTGGTTTAGGCTATATAGAATGTTTCTAGTAAGCAGCAACTAATTTTTATTATGGAACCGAAAGACCCTTTTAAAAGGGTTCAAAATTAAAATAAAATATGTAACAAGTAAATGTAGTAGTATTTTTTAATTTTTTAATTTATATTGAAAATGGTAACATGAAAGGTTTTCTGTCTACCGACTCATAGTCTCGGCTGACAAAATGTAAAAAAATATTCCATAATATAATATTCCTGGGCCCTATTTTGCACTCCCCAGATTAAATTTAGTTGTTGCAAATGATATTATCAAATAATATGTCAAATCACAAGCAAAATCTCGTGACTACAGTACTAATGATTGCCTGTTTGGAAAAGTATCTTTATTTGTAAATATTTAAATGCGCGAGTGTAATGTTAAGTATAAATAAAATCCGCCCATTATGTATATTCGTTTAGTTACCGACCCTAGTAGATAGGCAATTTGTTATTGTTTTAAGTTTTACCGTAGGGAGAGAGACAATCAATATTAGTTTTTGGTTAAGTAATTAATTATTGTAACAGTGATTTTCTTGTGATAGTACCTAATTTAGATTGTGGATTAAAGTTTTTGTATATAATTTCGCTGTTTAATAATAAACGTAGTCAAAACCGGAGCACGTGGTTTTTCTGGAAAGTATTTTTAAAATCACAAGCAAAATCTCATGACTACTGTACTAATGATTGCCGAAAATTAACTAATTCATATTTTATGCCATATCTTTCTTAATAAGGACTGTCAGAACCATATTTACCTTAACTTGAAATTTTTTTAATCGTTTTTTGTATAGAATCATCTCTAAAAATGTATGATTGAAATGTGTGAACTATTTGTTCGATCAATAAAAAACTTGCACCGGTCCTGTTCGCGCCAGCACCGTTATACGCATGAGCTCCGACACACTATTTTCTCTTTATGGTTTCATTTTTGATATATGGAATCGGCTTTCTATACTATTTCTATGGTTACACATCATATTCATTAATATAGAAGAACCTCCCGATTCAATCAAAAACATAAGTAAAACGGCTGCTGACGGTTTAGTACAGGTTTCTGTCTAATTGCCTGTTGTTGGTCCTATATTGGCCCAAAATTGGTGTTACATATTGGAAAATAAATTTGTTGCCAATATGGTACCAACATTGGTTAAAAAAGTTTAATATTGTCCCAACTTATAATATTGGACCTACAGTGCACCAGTCTGGATCCAATATCTTGTGCTACAGGGGGTGGTTTGTATTTTTGTTCTAACTGTTAAGTCGTATTTGACGTTGTTAAATTAGCTGAATCTGCCTTCACCTCAGATAAATAAATAATAGATACAGCCCTGTCATGCGTTGTTTGTAACCAGTATCTTCCACCCCTATGTAGCAGTGGTTACACTTGATATTTGCTATTTTGGTTACTCTATTTGATTGGTTATTGATTGATTAGTTATTTTATGGTTATTTATTGCCGACATCGTTCATTTTGAGTTTATTTCGTACTTTAATTGAATATTTTTTGAGGTTTAATTAGTTTTGGTTTATTTAATTGCTTTAAAATGCCAATGAAGTGTGTTGTGTGCTCGAGAAAGTATCTCAAGTTCAGTTGGATAACGTTTCATAGGTAAGTAAACAAAAACCACTACCGTTGCATCGCACTTTTTTCAGGGGGTAACATAATTCAAAATAATGTAGGTTTGAATAACAATTTATTTTAAATTTTAACATAACATCGAATTTCAAATTATTGTAATGTGCCTGTGTGTTTAATAACTTTGAGTTTATCAATAGGCTTCCTTTAAATTAAGATTATATTGTTACCCACTAAGCAAAATACATTCGCTGCAAATGTATTGCAAGTTTACAAATGTAAATGCAAGTTTCCTTACAAGTTTGTTTAATATTTATTGATATCTTTCGGCAAGTTTGCATCAGCCTCACTCTAAACTTTAAAAATTAAACTTAATATGCCACACTTTACGAAATTAACTTATGGTTAACATACAATTAAAAACTTATTTAAAGTAGGTTTTTCTAGACTCTTTGATCCTCCTCAGTTCCATCATTAAGTATTTTGATGTTTTTTCAATTACTCTTAAAATATCGTCTATTGCCAAATAAATATCACAAATGGCATGTGTCAGCTGTCAAAGTCACTACACTATTACCATTCTGATCGTTTACATTTAGTGATTTGTGAGTGTATTTCTTCTTTTCTGTATCGATAAACAAGGACACAAATATAGACCATGCGTACTGCCACTGCCAGTGAAAAATGTTATATCATTTTGTTCCTTTCACAAAGAATGTAAACCTCGGTTCCCCTCCGATTTGCACCTTCTGAACTTATGTTATTGCACCTGTATAAAGTTTTGAAATACATTTTCGGATAATTTGATTTTCATAATTTACAAAAATAGATTTAAGGTAGTTCACTCGCGCTAGTCGTACATAAAAAATATCGAATAATGGTGAATACCAAAAGTTCTAGATTCTCAATGCTAAACAATTTTATTTTTGTAAGACTATACAAAACACATGTAAGCTAATATATGTGGATATGTTATTACTTATCAGCATATATTTTGTTTTGTATTTGTGTTGATTTTTAACAAATGATTGCAACACCATTTAAAAACATTTTGCAGAGTTTCATTAACAACTCTTACTAAGTTGTCTGAATCCTTACAACTTACAAGAAACATAGTTAAGGACATCATCAACAAACAGGTAAATCTCATATTGACCCTTGCGACATCAACAATGTCATTGATATAAATTAAAAATAACAGGGAACCTAAATTTCTTCTTGTGTAACACCTTTGATGTGGTTAATTTCTTCAGATCAGGAGAGCGATTCTTATGTGCGAACTCGACACATTACATACAGAATAGAGAAAGACATTACATTAAAATCGCTGTCTGCGAACGAAGATAGGAGTCTAGATAGGAGACGTACTGAAAGATGAGAATCCCACTGCATATGTTATTTAATTTTAGCCTCCCTGACCTGTTACTTAGATAAATAATCTACATGCTACTCCAATGTATGCTTTATAGCATAGATATAAAAAACCACCTTTATACCCATACTTTTTAATTTTTTTATCGAATGATTTTGATCAATAGAATCAAATGCATTTTAAAGAAATACAGTTAATTTTTAATTGTACATATGGCGGGTTAATAGGCAGTTAAAATGTAGACTTAGTTTAAACTGTGAACCTTGTCGTATACTCATCGGTTATTGTTAAACATAGTTTTAAAAATTACATTTGTTTTTGAATATGACTAGTTAAAAATAAAACTCTTGTTAGTTTAACTGAGTTTAGAATATTTTTTGTACAACCTGCCCATATTGTATTTTGTAATAACTATAAATCTTTATAGGTAACTATTTTTATTTTTCAGTTTTCCCTGTAACTTCTGAACTCTGTTTCATTATATTATATAAACAAGAATCTGATGAGTACCTACTTTGTACAGATTTAAATATACAAATGGTCTTGTAAATATACTGACAAACTTTTAGGGGTGGTAGAGGGTAAATCAAAATAAACTTTTTTGCTTAATAAATAAGTAGGTATGTGTTTCAAGATCGAACGAAGTATTTTCGGACATATTATATTCAGATGTAGTCAATCAGAAAGCTCAAATTGACGTAATATATGCAGACTTTTTAATAAAAATAATAAGTATGAATTTTTGGAAATAGATTTAAAAAATGTTCACGACTTTCATTATATACACTTATTCTTTAATGTTCAATATTAATGAAATATCCTGTATTAGGGTGTCTAGTATATGTTAAAATTAAATACTTAGAACGTACTATCAAATGAAAGTAGATACTTATTGCATACTGTACACATACTTGAAGTACATTCTCAGTATCTGCATAGCACATATAAACGTCACGTAACATATAATTAGTATATTCTGAGAATGTACTAAATGCAAATAAAGTATATTCTCAGCATACGCGTATTCTTAAAAAGTATATACTAAGAATGTATAATTATTATCTGGGGGACAAGCCATTAGCCACACAGTCAATAATAACTATTAACAATATACAGGGTGGCTCACGCTCAACGGGACGGAGCTTTATGGGAAAACGACCAAAGATATAAAAAATTCGTTTGGGAGGAATACGTAGGTTACAGACGGCTACAATTTAAAATTTGTTAGATGTATACAGGATGTCCCACATAAGAGAAAATATACAAAGTTATATTATTTTTAATGGAACACCCTGTTTTTTATTTTAGAATTAAAAACTACATCAAAAATAATGTCAGTTAACTAAAGGTTTCCTATTACTATTATTATTAGTTTTCGATTTATTTGAATTTTTAAGGAAAAAAAGTCTCCCAGAAATTAATTGTTTACTCTTGTTTGAATAATTTTTAATGAACTAATTTTTTTTTTCTTATGTGGGACATCCTGTATACATCTAACAAATTTTAAATTGTAGCCGTCTGTAACCTACGTATTCCTCCCAAACCAATTTTTTATATCTTTGGTCGTTTTCCCATAAAGCTCCGTCCCGTTGAGCGTGAGCCACCCTGTATAGCTTCTATTTTATGCTATGTTGTTTCATGACGATTTCCACATAAAATATTTAAAAGCATTTGCAATAAAGAGGCATTTTGCGGCAAAAAATTTGTTACACACGGTATTCAATAAAGCAAAGAAAATAATTTTACATAAAATACAAGGCACATTTTCAAGATGATCCTGATGCGGCAAATACGGTCAAAAAAAAAAACTGCAACGCCCGAGACAAGTTTCAACCTCAGTCTAGCAGTTTCAAGGAAATACATATCGTTTTGTTTACTATATACTCTTATTTATTAAAAAATAAACTAAGACGTTCTAATAGTTAAACAGTAATCAATAAAACAAAACGCTTAAAAATTAAATCTTTATTAAAAAACAAAAAAATGGACGAATGATACACAGACTAATAAAATCAGAGCTTTGTAAAAACAACCATATAACCAGTCTATAAAGAGGAATGTTTGTTTTATTAAAATCAATCTCAAATAACTACTAGAAAAACCCACAATTTTCAAACAAACCACCCGGTTTAAAAGCAGTTTTGGTCAAACATTCATATTGAAACAAGTTGGTCAGATAAATGTAGTATCAAAATAGTATTTGTAAAATTATTAATGTTCGAGAATAAATCTCATTTATCTGTGATACTTTATACTAACTTCATCTAGTAACGAATAGTAGCACAGTATACATTTGTTAAATTAATTTCACCAAAACTCCCTAAACATATAAAAAATAATTTTTGTAACTTGCAAAATTACGAAAGCGTGGCAGCTTTGACAATAGTGACATACGTCAATGATTTAATTTTTAAAAGGTAGTAATTAATTATGATAAATAACATTTCAAACATACAAAAACACATCGCATAGAGAGTTTAAATTGATTATTCAGAAAAATCAAACTAAAAATAACCTATCTATAGTACACAAGTCATAAAAATATGTTTTCTTAGGCCATCTAACTACTTAATTCAAAATATGTACAATTGATTTTATATTGAAACTTATCTCACGAGAAAATATTCGTTTTTACCCTTTAAATCGTTTGTGTCAACAGTTTTTGAAACCCTACAAAGACAAGTCAGTAACATGGAGTGATCCCCAAAAAATATTTCTAAAGTATGCCTTGGAAAAAATCATGGATGTAGGAGCCAACAATTCTTGTTTATAAGTGTTAGTTTGGATTTAATTCAGAGCTATGCGGACATGTACTGTCTCTTTGTTGGTCATGGCCTACTTTAGAAACATTGTGGATCACTCTTAATTATTTATCAACAAAGTGCCAATTTTCAGGGATGGGGGCGGTATTGCCAATAATTCCTTTTTTAGCATATTTTTTTAATAAAAGGCTCATGGAGCATAAAAATTTTAATCTCTCCCCTGGAGCCGCCCTTACTATCAACAAATGACAAACGTTATGACATAATTTGTCTTGTATCATGGATCCGCTTAACACTAAAATTGTTGTTACACCATGGTCATGATTACCTACATATAAATTAAATACGCAGTTATAGTTATGTGTTTAAAATACCGAATGTGTTGTGATAGAACATTTTTTGGTAAGTAAATTTCAACTAGCATGCAAAATTATCCATAGAAATAAAATATACACTTTTATCGTTGTATTGACAAGTTTTATGCCTACTTGTTAAAATGTTGGTTTTATTTTGTTCTATAAAAATAAAAAATGTGCAAAAGTCTTTTATATAAAATGTATAAAGTTGTATAAAAATTGTGTAAAAAGCTAAAGCTATATTTTTATTGAGATTTTTTTTGTGGAATCTGTCATTATTATGAGATACCTAATGAGATATTTATGCATAGGTATAAATATGTCATTATTTAAGATCCCTAAAAATGTCAATAAAAAAATAGACACCGTTTCCTTAATATAATTTAAAAAATGCACCATTTAAGTATTCGATTCATTTGATCACTAGTAAGCAGCTTTTTTGGTAAAATGCAGTCGTACATAGACATATTGACAAAATAATAATCTACTTATTGGACCAACTTCCAGTGTCGTATTTATACATAAAAATATATTATTGCTTTGAGTATAAAATTATTTTAATTTAATTTTAAGACACCTTAAGTCATGATTTTCTTTGCAGTAGTTATACATTTACACAATACAAATATGTCTATAAAATAATTAGTTCCTTTAAATATGATTATTTGGAATATGATCTCTTTTTTGTGACTTTAGTTGTTGATTAGCAAAACTGCGGTGATTAAAAGTGTTGCAAAAGCTGCTGGGAGATTCTTGATAGCTGAATTAATCCATATTAGACCAGGGTAATTAGTGTTGGGCTCGGAAGTTTCTAAAAAAATAAATAAAAATTAACAATTGATTTATTTTTTTTATAATGCGACAGAAATAAACAAGGAGACCGTAGTAGAATTTTACATACATAAACATTCTTTGGTTGTCGGTCAAATAGGTTTTTATTTACCAAGAACTACATAATGGGTTTCGAAAAACAAATTTTTCATTTTCTGGTGAAGTCAAATTAAACAAAATTTTTTATATCTTATCTTTTAGTTTCACGTCATATGTAAGGTGAAATATTAATAGTTGGTTTGACAAAATTTGTAGAAAAATAATAAAATGAGTATTTACAGAGTTAAAAATTATTAAAAACTGTGAATTTAATATATTTTAGATCGCAAATCGAAATCCGAAAGGTCAGAATTATCTGAAAAATTCCCTTAACAATTATATTAAGACCATCCCCGAACCTCAAAGGTGAAAACCCAGAAGCACAAATAGGTCCATTAGACGTCTATTCGATATACAATTTTTGATGTCTGGACGTCCAAAAATGAGTGTTTCCTGAGCTTCCGACTTTCAATGGACGGACGCCACACAGGAGTATTTAGTCCATAAATTCGGTCAAAAGTAAAATATATAAACGATCAAAAAAATCTTTAAAAAACACTTCGCGAGCTCCTCAATGATCGTGATAGTTTAAACCAGCATTAGCACCGTTTCAAAGCAGATAGTCCGAATCTACCCAACAAACACCTTACTGCCGGGAAACTCGCGGCCTAGTGATGGAAGTGATGGCGAAGTGAGGGCTTCGGCTAATAGTATTATGGGCCGCCACTTGTCCATCACTTATGGGCCAAATCAGGTAAATTACTGATGGCCTGATGATGGGAGGCAGTGTGTTTCCCAACGTTTATTTTTTCCACTGTTGGCCTAAAGCTGGCCTATATGAGGCTGTGGCTGGTAGATATGTTGAATAAAAAAAGAAGAAGTATAGATAAAAAAGAAGCGCACACTTAACCTACAAAAAAATGTGGTTATGTGGTTTTTGTTTTACCGAATTTTGCGAGGGAACAAGGTCATTTTTTTCCTAGACTTTATTTTCACGGCTAAATTCTTTTATTTTGTGTTAAGTACAGTTTATATACGTGATCGCGATGAGCAGCCAACAGTTTTTTAATAACAAGTAAGTGTAAATATAGATAATAATTAATATTAAAAGTTTTATATTTCTATTCGCGCCCGCCTAAAAGCATTGTCTAACATCAAGAGATGTCTAAAAGTGATCAGCTCTCAGTTGCAATCAGTTGCTTTTTTGTTAATTACCTACCTACTTTGCAAGCATGTCTGAAACAAAAAGAAAAAGTAAATCTTACATGTACCGGAATATTAAGAAAACCATCACCGAGTCTCTGCTTTTGTGTGATCTAGATAAAAAAGTTGATCAACCCTCAACCTCAAAAAGACTTAAACTTGATGCTTGTGCTAGTACAAGTGTACAAAGTGAATCTAAATTAAATTCATCTGACTCCTCAGATATAGAAAGTTCTTCACCTAATTTTCCAATTTCATATGAAGATTCTTCCAATTCTGATGCAGATTCTCCCATTCCTGATGCAGATTCTCTTATTTCCGTGTCCTTTCTTAATGATATACCAGTTAGTCCAGAAGTACCTGTTGCTCCAGATCCTGTGATACCATTAAACATATCAAGAACTTTTCTGAAAGATTGGGCACTTTGTCATAATATTACTCATAATGCTTTGGATGCTTTACTGACATTTTTAAAGACTAATCCTGATTTGTCAGATTTGCCAACATCTGCAAGGGCACTATTAAATACTCCAAAATCTATGGAAATTGAGGAACTAGGAGGAGGACATTTTTAGTATTTTGGCTTGGCTCAAAATTTAACACGCATCATTGAGTTAACACAGTGTGATATCTTGGATTTAGATTTTGGAATAGACGGATTACCTATTTACAAAAGCTCTAATCTATCTTTTTGGCCTATCCTCTGTAAAATTCATAAAATAGTTCCTCCTCCAGTTTTTACTGTCGCAATATTCTGTGGAAAAAGTAAACCTCCATTGAATGGCTTCTTTAAAAAATTTATTGAAGAAATTAATTTATTGCAAAAAAATGGACTTAAAGTGGATAATAAAATTATTAAAATAAATATAAGATCATTTCTTTGTGATACTCCAGCAAGATCTTTCATTAAGTGTGTCACTGCCCATAATGGCTATTTTGGATGTGACAAATGTATTGATAAGGGCAATTATTTTAATAGAAGAATGAGATTTTTAAAATTACATGCTACCCTTAGGACTAATTTAGACTTTAGAAGTAAGAATAATAACACCCATCATAAAGGAGAAAGTCCACTAGAAAAAATAAAAACTGTTGATATGATTAATTCTTTTCCTCTCGATTATATGCATAGTGTATGTTTGGGAGTTATGCGTAAGCTGTTATTTGAATGGAGAGATGGAAGCAGAATATATAGATTAAATGCAGGAGATTTTGATAACTATATTAAAAGTATTAAACATTGGCCCTTTGAATTCAATAGAAAACCCAGAAGCATTTTAGAATTGGAAAGATGGAAAGCATCAGAGCTTAGACAATTTTTGCTGTATACTGGATGTGTAGTTTTAAAAAAGTTAATATCACCCCAGATATATGCTAATTTTATGCTTTTAAAGTTTGCTTTAACAATATTGCTCAGCAATAGTCTAAACAATGATTATAATCACTATGCCCAGACATTGTTGCTAATATTTGTAAAAAATGCAATAAAAATTTATGGAAGAGATTTTTGTATATACAATACACACTCTTTAATTCATTTAGCAAATGAGGCTAGACTGTTTGGAGATTTAAATTCTATAAGTTGTTTTCCTTTTGAAAATCACCTACAAGTAATAAAAAATTTGCTGAGGAAACCAAATTTGCCACTTCAGCAAGTAATTTGAAGAATTTCAGAAAGAGAAAGTGATTTAAGTTTTCAGATAAAAAAAAGGATATTTATGTAATGGGAAAGCCAGTGAATCCATCAAAAGTAACTCAAGAATTTGTACACTATGTGAACCAGAAATTGTATACTAAATTGTGTTTTGGAAATAAGTATTTTTCCATTTCTCGAACTTCTGGAAATAACATGGTCATGCTAAAGAATGGACAAATTTTTTCATGCTGTTTTTTTTAGATAATGAACAATTCACTATCATTGGAAAAAAATGTGACATTATTAAACCCTTTACCTCCTATCCTACCGATTCTTCAGTTTTCCATTTGTATGAAATTCAGTTTTTAAGTGATGAACTAGTAGAGTTTAGTGCTGAAATTGTTATGTGCAAGGGAGTGGTCCTGCCTTTCGAAGATACTTTTGTGTTTACTCCACTAGTTCATTTATTTTAGCAGCAATACAAAAATGTGTTGTGTTACTAATTTATTTTTTATTATTTTGCATTTTATTTATAGAGACTATTATGTAGTGGAGTTTCCAGAGGAAGCAGATACACCTTTGGCAGTAGTTCCTTATTGTTGGCTAGATATTAATGAAAATAACAAAACCATATGTATGTGGCCCAATGGCTTCAAAAGTAATAAACAGCTGACCAATGCAGTTATTTCAAAACAAGAAATACCAATTTCAGAAACCGTCCCTTGTAGAATTACAGTAAAATTTAAAACAAGTAAGTTAGATAAAGATAAAACTTAATTATTTTGAAACTCACTAAAATAATAATTAATAAGACTTAATTTGTTTTAGATGATTATGAAAAAGCTCTCTTAGTTTTAAAAAAAATGGAAAATTCATCAAGTGTATCGTGTTTAACATCAGATGGGGAGCGGAAAGGAAAAAGGATTTTAAAATGCCCTCCACGATATAGGGTTGATGATGACTTGGAAAGTTCAGATGAAGACAATTTGCCCCCTGTTCCAGCTTTAAAAATAAAAACATTTGTGCCTCCTGTTTTGTCAGCTCCGACTTTTGGGACATCTCGGGATGAAATTCCCACTGAAACTCAACGCATAGAAATGGAAGAAAATCCAGCATATACTTTCATAGAAATTGTTCATATGCTTAAAAGAATTGAAAGTAAGTACATAATTTTTCAAGGAAGTTTTTGTGTCCAAAACAAATGTTATTTATAATGTTTTTATGGCATGTTGGACAATTTTTGGAATAGAAAAAAAGGCAGGCCCGGACGGGATTCGAACCCACATCCTCTCGATTACCAGTCCAACGCCTTACCAATTAGGCTACCGGGACTTAATTGCTAAGACATCAAAATTTTTCTTATTCCATGGAATAAGAAAAAATGGTAGGGTCGGGTGTGTATTCGTATTTACAATTTGGATGTCTTAGCAATTAAGTCCCGGTGGCCTAATTGGTAAGGCGTTGGACTGGTAATCCAGAGGATGTAGATTCGAATCCCGCCCAAGCCTGCCTTTTTTTCTATTCCAAAAATTGTCCGACATGCCATAAACATTATAAATAAGTACATAATGTCTAAAAGAAACTTTTAGTAATGAATATATTCATATTCTCATAAGACCTTTTTTACATTTCAAAAATCATTAAATTTCTGACAGGAAGGGTATTTTTTAAATTCTACAAAATAATTTGGTTGTAACATTTACTTATTTTTTAAACTAAAATTAAATAATAAATTAAATTTCTGTATTTTTTAGAATTATGTGTTAATAATTCTACTAAGATTGAATCTTTGAAAAATGAGATTACTCACTTAAATAATGTGATTCAAAACAAAGATACGATAGAAAGAACCCAATTGGAAATAAAATCGATCAGTACAATTGATGACCTCAAAAAGTTGGAAGAGAATCTAAAAAGTGAAGATTTCTTTTCTAAGGCTGTAATAAGTATATAAAACGAAAATTCCATTTATTTATATCAATTTACTAACAACTTTAGTAAAGTTTTTCAATAATTTTAAAAACTGGTTATAGTTATTAAAAATTTTTTAGTTGATAGTATTGCTAAATGTTCTCCCTTTGTCATCCACATTTCATATATTTTAATATTTGTTTTCTCTATATTTACTTATTCCTTATTTTGCTTTTTTTAGTGCCAGTCATTGTCTATATTGGGTGGTAAAGACGGTACCAACACGGTACGAAGAATTATAACTCAACTATTAACACATCAGTTTGTCCTGACCTTAAATTGGTCAGGGCGAAATGATAAATGCGGTTTGAAGCAGTTCGAAAATGTTCTTCAATTAATTCTTGGTAAGTAACTATTACTTCTATAAATTCCTATTAACTTATTTTAGAAAAATTTTAGCTACTGCAAGGAGAAACATGTTTTCTAAGGATATTACAAAACAGGAAACTAAGTTCATCCTCAAAAATTGGTTAAGAAGTGCAGGTGATAGAGAGGGGGGAAGAGAAAGGAGGAGGAAAATATGATGTAATATCAGTTTTTTTCTAGAATATCTATTTTATTTTTTAGAATAATTTTATGTTTTTTATTTAAATCCAATTCGTTTTCTGTTCCTTTCTGGTTTTAATAGGTTTTTTTATGATATGTATCTTGTTTTCTGTTCACTTGTTTATTTTTACTTATTATTTTGTGTTTTAATAAAATTTTTATTTTTTTTATATTTTAGTATAATTATTTTACTAATATATTGTTTCACAATATATAGCTCGTTTCAATTTTAAAAGTACCAGTTTTGGTTCAGAGGAAGGGGAATAAGTATAATACCCTAGGTCAATCAGAGGCCCTGAGTTTTGGCCTTATGATAGCCCCTTGTTGGGGACCCATTAAACAACTGCTGGCTAGCCGATCCGGGGGCAGCAGTTGGCCGTAGTGAACCTAGCCATGTAGGGGCCGGACCGGGGAAGCATTGATAGGCCAGAGCAGTAAGTATGGCCAGCCACTAAGGGACCATTGACGTGCCTACAGAAAGAGTTTGTTGGGTACGCAAAACTGCATTTGTTCCTCTCCTTACCAGTACGCTCCAAATTTTACTTAAATTGCAGTAGGTCTAATACGCTATTTTTCGTTGTTTTGAGAAAACTTTTGTGATGAGTTCTGAAGAAGAAGGTAGGTACTTGCTAATAATCTATAATTTGAAATATTTTTTGACTTATGAACTGTTTTTAATTTAAATGTCTACAAAGCACATTTTTGCAATGTGTTTATAATCCAAGTGTTTTAGTATTCTGCCGTATACGAGTTATATATCCTATTTTTTAATAAACTGTGACTTATGTAGAATATACTGCAGGTATAATATTTTCCCGTCTGTCCACATTTTTTAACCTTTAAAATTTTAATTATAAATGTATATTTTGTTCAACAAAAGTAAGAAAACATAAAAAACGAAATTTAAATTTTTTTAACATGTGTGATATATTTTTTGTCAAAATCAATGTCTCAATGTCAAATGTCTCTTTTCAACCAGTGGCAATAATTTCACCAAGAAAAATCGCATTTCGCGTATATGAGAATCCTCTACTACGTTTTTTCCTTACAGATTTTTCAGACAATCTCATTGAAATGTCCAGAAAATAATTGTATTTACTTTGCAAAGAGAGTGGAAAACGAAGTTTAACCGAAAAAGTAAATTTTGTGGAGCAGCAACTTCGGGAAAGAACAGATTGTACCGAAAGTAAGTCTCAAATTCCAAGTCGTGATTTAAGACATTTTAAATCAGACTTTAAACAAAGATGAACTTTGGCAAATTATACAGAAGAACGTTTCTAAAAAAAATATAACGCATGGTTGGAGGCATCCATATCTATTCACACTTGGGCGTCACGTGCTTTTTCCAAACCTGGTCGACCACAAAAGTTATTCTCGGAATTGACTGACCGTAGCAAGCGTCGGAAGACGGAAGATCTTCGGAAGCAAGTATCAGTGGAAGAACTGACATACGCAGCTAGTGTCAGCCAGCTAACTTCGGGAAACTCGGATGCGTCTAAAATTATAAAAGACTCCTACTCGAGCAAAAAAATTTAGAAAAGCAATCAAAAAAAAAATAAAGGATTTGTTAAGCATACGCCTGTTGAAGCCCCGTGCCTTTTTGTTCATATGGATTTGACAAAGAAACAGTACGAAATACTACGAGAGTATACCAATATATATCCATGCTACTCCTTAATTAAAGAAGCAAAGAAAATGTCCTATACGAGTGAAGAGGCAATGAAAGTAACGGAGACTTGTGCAGAGGTTCGCCTTCAAGACCTTCTTGATCACACAACATCAAGACTGATAATATTTAGGGGAGATGTTTCATCAGTTAGGTCAGGATGAAATGCCACAGATTGAGTTAATCAGGACATGGGGTTGCGACTGCTCCCAACAGTCACAGTTTCAACGGAGTTTTAATGACTTAACAAGTGGATTCCAATATTTTCCAAAGCTCCATGGTGCCCCTAAGATTGTAAGTCCATATTGGAATTTACAAGAAAATTATATGGCAGAATCCCCCACCGTCATCAACAAGATTCTGTCGGCCTATTCGTATCAGGTTTCGCCACTAAACCGTTGATATCACAGAAGAGGAAATAAAATATATCGAAGACCAAGTAAAAAATTTGCAAAGAACAGAAGTGCAAACCTCTATGTAGTGATACAGGTTAAACATACGATGATACCTACAATGGTTGACGCCAAAGTTTGTGATTTGGCTACAAATACGAGCTCTACAATAAAATGCTACATTTGTGGAAAAATCCCGAAAAACATTAACGACTTTTAAAACACAAATGTCGAAATTCCAGAAGCCCTGAGATTCGGACTTTCTGTTATTTATGCAAGATTAGGGATATTTCAGACCCTTCTTCGAGGCCCATTAAAGAAGTGGCAAGCCGGAACGCCTGAGAAGAAACGAAACAAAAAATTCAGAAGGAATTTAAGGATCAAATAAGATTAATAATAGACATGCCCAAGGCAAATACTCCCGTGTGGGACGCCCAGTAAAGTATACTAATGGCACACTTCTGTGGACGTACAATTCTGGATTATATTTGGACGTTGAATACCGAACATTTATTTAAAAAACGTCCATTTCTGGATATTCTATTGAGACCACATCCCATCCCCTTTTTTTGCACAACCACAACTCACCACCCTATTTTATATTATAAATATTTATTTATTATTTTTGCAACCCTCTATACATCATTTCTTTTTTTTTTTTATTTAAAATCACTTGACCTGAGCAGGATTGAACTCACGACACATCCATTACCGTTCTACGTTTTCAACCACTAGATGATCTTGACCAGGGAGCTAGTTGAAAATGTTTTACTAGATATGGTTATAATAGAATGATATTTCAAACTTCCGCTTATATAATGAAATGCAATAGATTCAATTTGTCAATTTTTAATGACCAATTAAATTAAAAAGAAAGTGTATAGATGGGTATTATCTGGTAGGCTAAATAAATAATGATCTAAAATGGACATCCACTTGACGTCAAAATACTATCAAACTTAAAATTAAGACACCCTTTGGGTATCGATATGCAGCTGTCAAATTAATGATTATAAACAGACGTACACTGGATGTCCATATACGGATATGGACGTTCTGATCTAAAGTGGACGTCCATTGGACTCTGTGTGCTGTCTGGGAAATGGAGGTTTAAACAAAATCAAACCAAATCATCTTTGTTCCATACACAAATTTCCTTACCGCTACACCATGACGACATTGGTTGTCAAGATTCCTGGACAGCAATTTCATGTACTAGTTCGAGCCAGATGCCGTTTCAGGCTCGTTCTCGAATCTTTAAATATCTCTATACAGCATCGGTGTATATATAAGAAATACATTGATGCATACTAAGCCCATATCTTCGTCTGCGTGAGTTAAGTTTCCAATGTACGGTAAGCGACATAAACCTGAGTATGAAAATTGCGAGTTTAGTATATCGTAGATCGCAAATCGAAACTTGAAAGGTTATAATTATCTTGAATAAGTTGTAGAATAATTTTCCTGCTAATTTTATTAAACCAAATATTATTATTTTGACTACACCTATAAACGATATGAAAGAAAAATATGGGGTACAATTTTTGTTTGTTTTTGATTCTCGACTTTTTTATAATAATTTGACTGCACCAGAAGATGAAGAAATTTGTTTTCCGAAAAATAGTGGTAAATAAATCCTTATTTGACCTATATAATCAAAAAATATTTATTTATGTAAAAATAAATGTCTGTTGTAACCCTTCTTGAAAGCCTTTCAGCTTCTTCTTTCTTTAAGTTTATTATACGTCAGCATAATTTTTGTTTATTGCGCATTTTACCAGAATATATATATTTTTTGAAAAATATTAATATTCTGGAATTTTACAACACCAGCCAGTAATTTTTTGCCCTTCTTCATCGTTTGATGATTTTTAGAAGGCACTGTTAATGTAAGCCTTATTGTCAATAAAATAAAGTAACTTAAACGTTCGTATCGCACCATATTAAAGTAAAGTGATCTAAACTTTTAATTTATTTTGCAAATCATATGAGCATCGATAGATAAAACTTTCGACTGGCAGGTACATTTGGGGTAGGTAAAATGTAATATCTAGAACTTAAATTTAAATAATTTTAAATTAATAAAGTATTATTTTTAATATACTTATGCAATACGTACGAAGAAGAATAAGAATGCCGTTCCATTAATGAAAGAAAAATTTAAAAAGAAAATATTTTTGTAATTACATAATTGTAAATATTAAATGATAAATATTTATATATTATGAAAAACTCATAATAAAAATATTTATTTGACTTGCGATTAAAAACAAAATTAATTGGATAGATAAAGTGTCTTTCATCTTTAACCTGAAGGTTCTTGGAATTGCATATCACTTAGCCTGGCCCGATATTTTGAAGCAACTAGTAAATACTTCAATATAGAAACTACATACATATAAAAAATTCAAATGCTTAAAAAACTTACCTAAACACAAATATGACGAACATAATTAAAATTGCAGCCGTACTAGTTGAAACAGTAGCAGCGCCTGCATACCTAGCAGAACCACAGGCAGGAGGGCAAACAGGAATGATGGTTTCTACATAACAAATAAATAACATCTAGCTAGTAACTACACTACATAAAAAAAATAGGCATTCAAAATAAAACATAGCATTCTTAAATAGCAAAAGTCAAGTAAAAAATTAATATTATCTAAACTATGATGGTATTTTCTAAATTAATAACGTTATATTGAGAAGTCCAACATATAGAATAGGTAAAGTTTAGTTTTCCTGTCTGGAAACACAGTTAAAAATATGATTCACGATAGAGTAATGATTCAAATTAATCGACATATCAAATTTAGATTTTAATTAAATATTGACTAATATTTTTTACTATTCCTATTCAACTGAGAAAATAGTTTATTTCATAAACTTTCTTTTTAACACATTAAACTTTTTGGTTTTTAAAGGTGACAAGAATGGCATCTGTCAAAAGTATCAAACGTAAATACATTCATTCGCATTCAAAAAAACTAGTATATAAGTTTAAAATATTAAAGTATATTAAAAGTAATTTTTTATTATTTCCTTTGTCTCCTCTTATAAAACTACAGCCTATTAGCTTGTTGTGTTTAATCCCATTTTCATAGGACCAGTATCCTGTGTACCTTATACAGTCCTTGACGTACGAACAGTACGTAAAGTATAGATTCTTTGATCAACCTGTGATTGTCCAAAAAAATGCCAGTCTCTTGTGATACAAACAAGGTTTTGCTTTCGCACATTATTTTTTTTTACAGTTTTTGGTTGTTTCTGTTATTTCTCTCAACTGGTTCTTATTCATAGAGAGTAAATATGTTCTACTTTCGCATAGTCGTCTTATAAAGGGTTTTCCTTATGCTTGTGAGTAATTGTTCCACTAGTTTTCTGTTAACATTTGGTACTACTAGTTTTCAGTGCCCTTGGTTATCTAAATGGCAGTTCGTTCTGGAATTGCTGAAGCAACGAATTTTCCTCATTTTGACGTTGAAAATTGCGACCGATGACATACACCTATTAGAAGAAAAAAAAGTACGTCTGTCCCAGCTTTTTCTTCATTTAATGAACATTGTCATCTAGAGACAAAGATCATCTGCCTCGTTCCTAGCGAAATTGATTATAAAAAAAGTTATTTTGAAGATTCTTCTAGATAAAACAGTTCAAATGGAGCTAAAATAGCAAGCACACAAATTGACATTCTCATAAGTACAGTCATTCGGAACATACAATGAAATTTCATTAAAAAATACTAATAAACAATAATTTTCTTACCAAACAGCTCCACCCTCCCTTCGGCCGAACCCAATTTATTGGCGGCCTTACAGACATACTGTCCGTACTGCCTTTTTTCCACAGTAATCACCCTCAAAGTTGTGTCCGTGAACTCATCAGCTACCGCAAAATGTGATATTCTATAGTGCTGATTATTTGACAAGGTAATGTCGTCTTTTTCCCATGTGATAGCTGGTGGTGGATAAGCTTCCACGTGGCATTCCAAGTCCATGTCAAATTGGAGGGCTTGTCCAAGACGAGGACGGGGTACTGATACTACAGGAGCGAATTCAACTTCTACGGCAATGTTTCCTAAACAAAAAGCATTGGACTAGATAAGATATGAGTTGAAGTATTTATAGTTTTAGGCAGAGTAAGTTATCTTTAACTAAGCATCAATAATAGCTCATATAAAAGAGCAGGACAAGATTATATATGTCTGCTAAGCAGAGAAGTATGTAGTTGTAAATATCAATCACACTCTAGGTACTCTAAATGTATATTGTCTGTCATCTTGGAAACCAATAATTATGGTATAATACGAGTAGACGTAGGGGATGAGAATACCACACATTATCGCAAATATAGTGTTTCAATAATCTAGCTAGAAATTTTATATTAAAAAATAATACATGTTTCTTACGTTTAGTGCCTCTGCCGACACCATTTTCAGCTACGCAATAGTAAGTTCCTCTATCTTCTTTGCGAATAGCCTTGATTTTGAGGATGTTTCCTCTGTAAATAGACCCGCCAGTAGGCAATATAGCATTATTTTCACGTCTCCAAGAAATTCTTGGCGGCGGGTATCCACCAGCGTAACATTCCATCTCTACAGCTAAATAAATAAAATAATTATTAACACGAATCATTTATTAGAATAAAAAACTGCCATCCAGTACTAATTAATTTAATTTAGTATTTTATATCTATACTATATTTTGATACGGATTCAGCTGTCACAGACCCAATACCAAAACCAAAGATTCAAAATTATTACAGCCGTTTCATTAAAATTCATTAACCTGCTAAACTTTGATATAGCTTGAGAATGTAATCTGTCTGAATAACATGAATTTCAAGTTGTACTCACATTCTAAACATCTGTCAAAGTTTATCAGGCTCATAAATTGTATAGAAAGTTCTTGCAACCGGCTCTTAGAATGACAGTTTTTTAATTTAAATATTTTGTATTACCTTCTCCTTCAGATACCACCACAGATCTTGTGGAGTTATCAGAAATGAAAGGCGGTCTCCTTACTTGCAGCTCTACCTCAGCTGTCACCCTGTTGCTAGGTGAAATGAGGATTTGACATTGGTAGAAACCTGCGTCGGTTTCTTGAATGTCTTTGATTTGTAGAAGAAACGTTGAACTGCTCTAAAAGTATACATGGGATTAAAAAATTATTAAACTGATAATTTTAAACTCAGTTAATCAGAAGTTCCTATTATAGTCCTAGAGACAACATGTAGATCTGTGACTTACTTTCTTATGTATGAATTTATTTTTTTGTGTTATCGGCATCAACTGCTATGGTTATATTAACATCGTGTTCTGTGTAGGCTTTGGTACTATTTCCCATAGCCACTTTAGGAACAGTACTGTTAATTAAAACCCAACAGTGAATAGTCGAGTGAGAATCCTACCTATGCTTTAGAATTAATATTCAATTCATTGAATTAAATAAAAATCCTGTCACACGCGGGATTCGAAACTGAGACCTTTCGATCTCAAAGTCATGACTTTAACTATATGAGCCAACCCACCCCTAAGCATTTATTATTAAAGTGTAGCATGATACAACGTTTAGGTACGTGCCTCCATAAAACTTATTTTCTTTACATTTTACAAGAAATATTAAACGCTCATCCACCACCAATTTCGGTTCCATTTTTCTCTTCAACATTTTAAAGTAGTGCGTGAGTGGACATGCGCGTGACTTTATTTTCAAGTTTTTGTTTGTGTTTCATAAAATTCGCCTACTCCATCAATTTAGCTGGGCCTTTTCTCTCTTACGTTTTAAGATAAAAACCTTTTCACTTAAAATGTACATTAAAAATTTTGAACCCTTTTTCATGTTCAACGACAATAAATATTAAATAAAAATATTAATGATTTAAATATAAAAACTTAATAATCACTTGGGTTGAGATCCATGAAATTAGAAAATGTTGAAACTTTATTACTAAATAAACAAAAAAATATTAAAAATATAACACTGTTATGGGTTGTTTTTGTGTCAGTGTACATTAAACTTCGTTGTAACGTTGGTAGGGACGTATAAACTAATAATGCTGATATTATTCGTTACCTGTTCGCCCTAATGCTAACTCTTTGTAGTTTTCACATACATTTGAGCCTGTGTCTTTGGAAAACTTTTGATAGCCGATACTATAACATTCGCGCTTTCGTAAATTCCTTGGACACCTATCATATCACACTTAAATAATAAGTTCAACTGTAAGAATATAAGTAACAAATTTGCACGTTGGATCTAGGAATATCAGGGATAAGTAATTTTATTTCGAAAGTCTATTTTTTTTTCTATTTTGCATATCTCACAACGTTGTTTATTGAGGGTTTTAAAAAAAGGTATAAATAGCATAAAATAAAAATAAAAAAATAAAGTCATTTTTAAGTTGAATTCATCCAACCTATAAACGGGTCTAGGCTAGGAAACATCACCGCACCCGATTCGCCGCCCCCAATGGACTATAACAGTAAAACTTTTTAATTACTTCATTTATAAAGGACTTTAGCAAAATTTTGCCGATGATATATCACTGGAAGCCGAAAAAATAATTTATTGTTAAAGTTGAAAATTTTATGTCCCCTCTATGTCCTGTAACGTGTACCAATAAATTCAGAAAATTTAAATTTTGTTACCAAATGTCTATTTCTACTTACCTATTAGTCCCATCTCTGTGTATTGTAAGAAGAGTAAAATATAAAAAAAATTAGGTGTCTGTTCTTTTATTAACAATTCTGAACAATGGTGTTGCAACAAAATTTACTGATAGTAAATTTTAAAAATTTTGTAGTCGTCGATGTTTACTTTAAATAAATAATAATATCTATAATAAAAATTCCAAGTTTTCTGTTTTTGCTTCGACAGGCTGTAAAATTGGTTACAAACCTAAACCGCTTGCTGCATTTAGGCGGTACCCCGCGCATTTATATAATTGCATTATATTCCCTAATAAAAAAAAATGTCTGAAAATTCAGATATATGTTAGTTTGAAATTAAAATTAATTCATACGATTTTGTAATATATTTCTATTTCTTAATCTTTTGTTAAGTATTTAACATAAATGCTGGATATATGAAAACAAATTTAGCTAATTTAAAAACGTCCACAAAACATCAAATAAGTTAGAACAAAAAGACAAACCACTGAAGTAATTTACGCATTAAGGGAATAAAACAATTAATTTAAAAATATTTGGCACCGTTGTAACAATGTGTAGTTATTCTCTAGGTTGAATTTAGGCGGAAAATTTTATCAAAAATGCTTTTTCAATCCCAATTTCCTTCTAAATGCTTAAAAGGATAAATCAACGTTTTCTTATTAAAACAAACACCATTATTAATTGTTTTGACGTAAATAAACAACTCGCTGACAGCTGATTGGCCGTCGTTGATTCTATCGGGGATGACACATCATGTACGTCACAAACTTCAGCCTCATGCCATATAATTTTTTTTCAGGATGCATTTGTTGCAAAACAACAGTTTTGTTATTTTACTCTCATTTACTTATATATTATCCCCCTTATTTGATTGATTATAACTATTTTGGGTGCTAGGTCACCAAGGGATCAGAGGCAACTAAAAGGCTGACAAACTTTCAAAAAGAGGGCCAGAAGAAACACCGGAACCAGACACAAACCCAGGAGTATCAAAAAGTACAGTCCGGGGTTTTATAAACGACTGGATTCGGGAACAACATATTAACTATTGGGGAAGCACCCCAAAACAGGCACATGGAAAATCCTTCATAGTCAGACCATGTCTGGAGAACTACTCTTTATGAATAGGAACCAGTTGAAAGTGATAACAGGGTTCATGACTGGGTACGCCCCAGTAAAGGGACACTTGAACAAAATTGGCATGTACAATGGGGAACTCATGTGCCGACTATGTCACAAGAATCCAGAAACGGCCAAACACATACTGTGCGAATGCGAAGCTCTAGATCGCAAAAGACAGGCTCTTTTTGGACAATCCCAGGTTGATCCAACAACGTATAGAATCCACTCACCCAAGGATCTGTACAAACTTGTACAAGGTACAAAGGTGACAGAGTGGGTGCTATGAACTAACATGGGGTAAAACACAATAAGCCAATAGGCTTCTCAGTATTATTCGAAGACATAGTCAGACGAGCCCAGGAAAAAAAAGAAAAAAAAAAACGTTGCCCACGTTTGAGGAAATATAAATTTACCCTCAAAATTTACGTTTCCAGATATAAAATCTCTTTTTGAAAAGGATCCACCCTCGATAACTTCGTTCTCGTCTTGATTCAGGTAAAATCCAGAAACAGGTCAATTTTTATCCTTAGAGGGACACATTTTTAGATCACAACTGATTTTGTTGGATCAACCCCAAGGCCCCACCAGCCCCACCTCAAAAACCTTCAATAGCAAGGGGGCTGAGTGACCCCTCGTTGGAAAGTTTTTTGCATTTACCTTACGACCATGAAAGAATTATTTCGTTTTGTACAGGGTGGTTCAAGAAAAAAGACAAATTGCAATAAATAGATTTACATTTCGCTTTAATTGGTTAATTTTTGGAATAAAAATCGTATTAATTGTCTACAAAACGAGAAGAAACGGATTAGAGTTAAAGGAAGCAAAATCACAACACGTGCTCAAAATGACCAACGTTATTCTCCATGGAGTAGTAAAGGCGGTATTCAAATTCCTCCCTCACCCGTTGAAAGGTTTCTCTAGGGATTCTTCTGCATGCGTCAGTTATTCGTTGTCGCAACTCCACTAAATCTGCTGGTTGAGTTTTGAAGACAACAGATTTTAGGTGCCCCCAGAGGAAACAATCTGGTCCTGTCAAATCTGGTGACCGTGGAGGCCATTCTATTGCTCCCCGCCTGCCAATTCAATGATACGGAAATCTCTGATTCAGCCAGTTCCGAACATTCACAGCGAAGTGAAGTGGGGCTCCGTCTTGCTAAAAAAAAGCTCATTTTCTTCAAGTACAAGATTTCCATCTTGATCCCGCTGATTTTCAACTTCAACCGTTATCAAGGGATCTATGATATCCTCCAGCAGCTCTAAATATACCTCGCCCAGTCAAAGTCTCATTAATAAAAATCGGACCGACTACCGCATCGCCTAGTATTCCTGCCCATACATTTAATTTCTGAGGAGCTTGAGTATGCCCCTCTCTAAAAATGTGAGGATTCTCATCACTCCAATATCGGACATTCTGTTTATTGACTGCGCCATGCAAATAAAAACTACATTCGTCACTAAAGCAAATGTTTTTTATGAGGTTTGGGTTTGCGTTTATCATTTCCGTCATAATTTCGCAAAACTGTAATCTCCTATCAGGATTATCGTCCACAAGCTCCTGAAGTATCTTCATTTTATATGGATGGAATTTAAAATTTTTTGTCACTTTGCGTACCGATGAATACGAAAGTCCAGTGGTCGTAGCAATCTGACGCGAAGAACTGGTTGGATCGAAAGTAAAGTTCCCCACCACTTCAATCTGAGCCATTTCATTAACTATTCTGTTACCTTCTCTCTTCATATTTTTCACCGATCCTGTTGCTTGAAACTTCAGCACAAGTTGCGTGACATATTTGTGCTCCATTCGCTTATCTGGATTTCTCGCATTAAAAACTCTGGCAGTGGCGCGGGCACAATTCTGCTCCTCATCATAAATGAAAATAACTTCTACCCGCTCGGCAATAGTGTAAACCATTTTACAGGGAATAAATCAATTGACATACCAACTGACTGCAAACTACTTGGATTAAATCTAATCCGTCAAAACGGCTTGTAAAGATGTGCAAAAAATTTCAGATAAAAATGCATACAAAAAGAGCGATAGCGCGATATCACTCATCAACCGTCTTCAAAAACTGAAGCAAAAAATTTAAGTGAATTTACGACAGGAGATAAATTGTTGAATGAGGAAGGATTCCTATTATTCTCAACGGTGGTTATTTTAAGAATCTATTATGATGTATGTAATTTAAGTCTATTTAATGCAATTTGTCTTTTTTCTTAAACCACTCTGTACAAAACGAAATAATTCTTACATGGTCGTATGGTAAATGCAAAAACCTTTCCAACGAGGGGTCATTCGGCCCCCCTTGCTATTGAAGGTTTTTGAGGTGAGGGCTGGTGGGGCCATGGGGTTGATCCGACAAAATCAGTTGTGATCTAAAAATGTGCTTCCCTAAGGATAAAAATTGATCTGTTTTTGGATTTTACCTGAATCAAGACGAGAACGAAGTTATCGAGGGTGGATCTTTTTCAAAAAATCACCCTGTATAATCACATATTGTATTATATTCTTACCTAACAAACCAAGCACTTTTTCACAAAATAATAGGTATTATTCAATCAAAAATCTGCTATTCTAATTCAAATGTTTTGATTACCATTTAACACAATAGAAAGTTCGCTATTTATAAAATGTCTAAACTTCTTCGTTCAAGCAACAGATGTCGAAAAGTCAAACATGATCTTTAGGAATGATGCTATTTTGCATCCATGGTGAAATATAAGCCATAAAATAAAAATTTGACAGGTATACTTTATTGGAAATGGTGTCCACAACTTTGGACACGATGACTGGTCGGGTTAAAAATAATACTGTAACGTTTGTTTAATTTATTTATAGTTTATTTATTTAAAACACTTTATTTACCATTTATTTATAACGTACTAATTAATTTGTATAATACTTAGGCTCTATTGTATAACTCCAATTCTAATTTATTTATTACAATTTATCTTTTCTATACAACACTTAAATTGAAACTTCTTCTCCGTAGACAAACTCGCGCTATTTTATATAAAGCCAGCTCTGTACCAGAACACTCTAAACAACCTAGAATAATCGAGAAATGCCTCTCTATGACTAATATGCCGCAAAAGAATCCATTCCGGTAGTTACTCGAAGCGCTGCGTTTGTCTCTTATGGCTAGCGCTAGAATTCATACCGCGGGCAAGGAGTAAAGCACAGGGTTGGCATTGCGCGACAATACCTATTTATTTATTTATTTGTTATTATGAAATTCAAGGTGGACATTAAGCTTTTAAAATGCAATTTGAATTTCACCAAAATTGATATTTATTTGATACTATATTATACTTAAATAAAAAAGAAATACATTTATCATTTAAATTTTTATTAGAAATATGATGTTTACATTAAAGTTATGAACTAAACTTCGATTATATTCTAAAATATTATTTCTATTAATTTGTTATTAATTCTAAAATTCTCTGGTCAGCTAGTTTATACTTTTGGTCTACTTTGATTTTTATAATAACAAATGAATATTATTTGTATAACTAAGTCTTACTAATTATAAACATACTTCAACATGTATATCCTGACGGTCAATCGGCTACGGCGAATTGGCGACGGTGAATCGGCGACGGGATATTGTTCCATTCCTCTATATACTTACTATTATATTAACAATTGTTGAATAAATGTATATTGTTACGCCACTGGATAATATTTCTTATTAAGTTATACAGTTGCTACAATGGTAGCACTAGAAATAGTAATTAAATTATACTGCGTGAGTCATAAGAATGTGACTGTAAGATTAATATTATTTTAACTAGCAGGTGAATTCGTTATAATTTTTCTTAAAGATAGAGGCTGTATAGTGAGCGAAAGTATGGAATACATTCAATTTGTTAAAAGATTACTACAAATAAGCAAATGCGTATTAGGTATATTTTTCAATTTTAATTTCAGATAATATATCTTTTAAAAAATATTCCCAGAAAATCTGTTATTTAGAACCAGTTATTTACTCTATTATAAAATAACGATAAAGATGAAGTACTTACAGGATCATGACGAAGGGAGAACCTAGAATCGTGCAAAATCAGTGAACTTCCAGTTGAAATTGGTAAACTGTATGCTGTTTGTCCTCTTTCTACTTTCATCCATATCACAGAATAATCCTGAGTATATTGCACAGAGCAAAGAAGTTCTACTGTTCCTCCAATGTCTTTGATCTGTGTTTGGGTTATATATGATATCGTTGGTGATCTTTGAGCATAAACTAGACAAAAAAAAATAATTTTAATCTTACGTAATAGGACTAATATATTTTTTACCACCAAAGAAGAATGAATGTACAAATCTAAATTTAAATTAGTTACCTCATTAAGAATGGGACACAGAACAACTGAATATTCTCTGATTAAACGAAACATGCTCTTGTTGGGAACTCAGAAAGTAATTGGTTTTCGAGATATTTACACTCAAAGGTGAACATTTCTCATTTTATTTTATTTTTTTTCTTATTTTTTTATAAAATTATACCCAACAAACATTTTGTATAGGGGAATTAAAGGCCCAATAACTGTCACACTCCAATTACATTGATGGCCATTTGACTTTTCTAATCTATCTATATAGGTCACTTCGGCCGACAGTCGGGAAATTGCTGGCCTTTTACCATATTAATAAATATTGTAGACATTTTATTTAATTCAGCTATACAGTATGGTTCAAATGAAAGGAATAAATTCATTATAATGGAAGTAGTTGGTTTTTCGAAAAAATGCTCGGACAGGTCAATTTTGTTAACTTAAAGCGCAATTTTTTAAATAGAATTCAATTTTCCCCCACTTCCCATTTTTGGGCAGTGACGTCATTGACAATTTTTTTAAATAGTAACCCCAATTTTTTTTTCTTGATTTTGATAGATCTTGCAATTTCCTACTCGGAAATATAATATTTGTAATATCTGATATAACAATTTTTTTTGAATAAAAGTCATTTAAAGATCAGATACATAAATTTAATTTTATTTTGAAACACAATAAATGAATAAAAGATTATTTGTAATTAAGTGCTTCATCTAAAAAATAATAATAATAAAAAGAATTTAATGACAATTTCACAAATTCTTTTTTATTATTGTTATTATTATTATTAATATTATTATTATTATTTTGTTAGATTAAGCACTTAATTACAAATAATTATCTTTTATTCATTTATTGTGTTCTCAAAATAAAATAAAATTTATGTGTCTGATCTTTAAATGACTTTTATTCAAAAAAAAATTGTTATGTAAGATATTTCAAATATTATGTTTCCGAGTAGGAAATTGCAAGATCTTACAAAATCAAGAAAAAAAAAAATTGGGGTTACTATTTAAAAAAACTGTCAATGACGTCACTGCCCAAAAATGGGAAGTGGGAGAAAATTGAATTCTATTTAAAAAATTGCGTATTGAGTAAACAAAATTGACCTGTTCGAGCATTTTTTCGAAAAACCAACTACTTCCATTATAATGAATTTATTCCTTTCATTTGAACCATACTGTATAATACAATAATACAGAAAAAATGTCTTCGTCAAAAAACTTATTAATAAAATATTCTAAATTTACATGTAAAAGTAAAAAATTACTATGAATACTGAATAGTGAATACCAACAAGGCGATCATTGGTGTCTCCATCTATGAACGCGGGACGGAGCCCTCCTGGACTGTTGGAGTTGGGATTGCGGCAGTTAAAAGCCTTTTGACTTTTATTATGCTTTTACCCAATACAGTTACTTACTCTTCATAAGGCCATCATCAAGCAACATAATGCTGGGCCACTATCGAAAGGCCAAAAGTAGGCTTTTATCTTTTAATCGTCGCATTCATTTTCCCTTCAATTACAGCAAAAGGCCAGCAATATCCTGGCGATTTATTGTTTGTTAGGTAGTGAGCAAACGTTTTTGGTGTCATAAGATAGACCTATCAACAAAAAATCAGTTAAATAAAATTTCCAGTGGCGTACGGCATAGATAAGTAACACCTTCATCCCTTCTAAATTTTACACCTCTCCAAAAACTTATTTCGACTATAATTTTGAAATTTTGATGTTTTTTAAATAAATTATGTACTTTTGTTGGGAATTTATAAAAAAATATAAAAATGTAAAATTAAAATGTTTATTAAAATGAAGAATTCTCACCTTTGAGTGTAAATATCTCTAAAACCAATCACTTTATGAGTTACCAACAAAAGTACATGATTTATTTAAAAAATATCAAAAAAAATTAAAAATATAGTCCAAATAAGTTTTTGGGCAGTGGCATAAAATTTAGAGGTAACGAAAGTGTTACCTAACCATGCCGTATGCTACTGGTTTTATTTAACTGATTGTTTTGCTGATAGGTGTATGTTATGACACCAAAAATGCCAAATTTGGTAAAATTATACTGAGAAATAAAAAAAATATAGCCATTAATATTCTTTGAATTTTTAACTTTAACACCATGTATTTAGGAGACTAGTAATGTTTTATTTTAGCATGTTTAGTTTAATCGTCTTATTTTTAATCAGAGAATCTTCAGTTATTCTGTGTCCCATTCTTAATGAGACACCCTGTATAAATGTCACAAGCCAGAAGAAAGAAAAACTGATACAAAGACAGGCAGATTGAAATATAGAGAAGATGTGATGACAATAACTCTTTAAAGATGGAGCTTATGAAGATCTGCATCAGAGCCGTAGAGGGAAGGCCTGAACGATTATGCTAGAAAGATTGGTGTATCAACGTTTGTCAAAACACAAGACATGAATATGTTCTAATGATGGTCAGAGCTGATAAAGCTAATATTAGAGCTATCAAATCCAAATGATAAAAGATGAATCGCATTTAGTTATGTGATGTGTCCACTTTATATTTACGTTTAAAAAAATTTCTGATTGTGAAATAGTTATTTACGATATAAAAGAGTTAAGAGCTTTCTTTATTAACGTACGCATGCGAAATCGCAGAAGAAGCGTTATCATACATATATTGTACAAATTTTTATCTAAATGTAAAAATAAACGGTAAATATAATTTTTGTCTAAGATCGACTTAATTTAGGGCTATTGTTCTCCACCACTGCCTACATGTCGATTGGCGACACATCGAAATATTGTCATAAAATAATTAATTTTTAACGTATTTTTGCATTTTCTAGTAATAAAATGAGTAATTCGGAAAAGTTTGCCATCTGCTATTGAAGAACAAGCTTTAAATATACATAGTTAATTGTGCTTGTGACAGTAATTTGTTTAAATTTAAATAGACTTGACTTTTGTATTTAATTGATTGAGAAGCAGTGAGATAAGAAAAATAAACTTCTTATCTCACGCAAAAAGAGTGGAATAAGAAGTTCTTTTCTCACGGGCGTAGATAAAATTAGTTATTATTATCTCAAAAGTAGTTTGATATCGTGGAAATAAATAAAAAGTTTTGAGCTAGTAATAATGAAACACATTTATTAAAGATAGTACTTAGATATGTTTATAAATTTGACAAAATATTCCAAGCAAGGTTAATAATATTTTGTGTAAACCTACAGAGCTTTACGACTATCAATTTTATTGTAAAATGTACCAACGAGAAACGTGATGAAATCAATAAAGTAGGAGATATTTTCAGCCGAAAGCTTGCAAATTTGCTAAGAGTATACCTTATATGCCACTAGTGTGTTACTATTTTGGCTAATACAAAAACTAGTATGACTTCTATTAAAAACCATGGAGAGTTGAAATCTAACATAATGACAGAGGTTACATAGAGCACAATTTGAATATCGCCTATTCTAAACGAGACGTGGTTAATGGAATGTTTAATTATTTTCCTTGCATTTGAGATAAGTAAATATACACAACAGAATTTCTAAAAAACAATTATCTGTATTATGTTCCTGGGGAATAATTGTTCTAATTACTGATGCCTCGTTCAGTATTGCATTCGTGCTGATCACATTTTCTTAGCACCACTTTTTAACACTTTTCTTTACGTTTCTGATTATTCGAAATCCAAAAATGCAAAAAAAATTGTTTGTGCGTATGTGCGTCGAAACGATAACTCTAGAACGAAAGGGCCGATCGACATGCGGTTTTGATTTTGTCGATAATTTCTTCTAATTAACAAACATTGATTTTCAGAATTTTTGGTTTAACTTTAGTGCTTTAAATATCAATGTTTTTAAAATGCAATATGAATTTCTCATGGATAGCTATGCTTGTCAATTGTGAAACCACATGTTTTTTGATATTGCTTTTATTATCCAAATAAATTATTTAAAACGTCCTTAAAAGACATTAACTGAGAAAGTGTATGTAGTTATTTATTGTAAGTGGAAATAATAGATTTAAAATTATAAATAAATATGGATCTTACGCGAATAACATACATGATTAAGTAACGATAATTTTAACAGAACCTTTAATGAATTCCAGAACGAAACTCGTATCTGAATTGGATATTAGAATCAAAAAGGTAAAGGGCCCAAATATTATTTTTACATGGACAGGCTTAAGGGCTAAAGACCCCAAATATTTTTACACAAGAGGCAAAAAGCCAAATATTTTTGCATGGGCAGGCGTACAGTGTAAAGGGACCAAATATCTTTTCACATGGACAGGTTTAACAGATTAACGGCCCAAATATTTTTTAAAGAGGCGTAACTGGCAAAACGGCCAACTATTTTGATATGGGAGGCTTACGAGATAAAGAGGCCAAATATGTTAAATTGGAAAGGCTTAATGTTTAAATAGGCCAAATATGATTACATGGTCGGGCGTAAGGGTTAAAAGCATGAAATGTTTTTACATGCCGGCTTAAGAGGAAAAGCGCCAAATATATTTTTACTTTTTTTTTGCTAAATACAAACTTTTGATACTTTGAGGTAATTGATTACAAAAAGAGGTTACTTGGTATATGTGCTGCCTGATTATAATGTAGTTTACCACTTAATTTACCAGACAGTTGTAACTTTTTAATCTAAATACTGAAAATATCAAACAAACAGTAGAAAAAGGTGCTAAGTCCTTGGACTGTTCTGCATTTACTAATTTACCTTATTACATGGAAACATAGGTATTTTACAAAATAGGGCGGTACCAGTTCAATTTTTGACAAAAATGTGACTTAGCCGCCTTTTTTTCCTGCACCCTCATTTGCTTTATAAGTTTATTAATATTTATTAAAACTGTTCAACTGCTATGGAAAATTAAGCAAATTGATTTTCCAACTAATTAACATGCTACATTT